AATACCGACACTTACATACGGTATCTTTGTGGATTTCCTTTTTTTCTCGCTTGCACATACCATGACACGTTTGCGTGTGAGTATGTATCGTCTCTGCTCGCATGAAAAACAGTTCCAGCCAATGCACATAATGGTCTCTCATTTCACATAAGCATCGTCTGGCATGGTGCTGCTATTTTCCGAACTCACCCCGAAAAAAAGATGTATGATAAATATAGCAAGACCGAGGCGATCTTTTTTTTTCTTACGATGATTCCTTATTTACGTGTTTTTTTCTGTTGTTGTTGTCGTTGGTGGTGGTGTCTTTTTTTCGCCTTTTCGTTTGGCCATTATACTGTGTGACACGGATTCCATGCACATACAAATATACGAAAAATGGTACCGGCATTTTGAGAAAATTACCGAACTCACAGTATATAACGGTATTTTATGTACATCAACACTGTCTAGGCATTGAATTATTTTGTTGCGAAAATTATTGTGTATGCTTATGTACATCGAATGCTGAATTAAATGGGTACATAATGTTCGGCGAAAAGTGAAAGTATTCTATACTTATCAAAGGAAATAAATAAGGTAAATTCGAATGAATTCTTCTTTTTCTGTGCCATTCGCAAATAAATTGAGCAATTGAGTCTTTAAACTTCTTAATCAGACGGGAAAGACAATCTTGAGTGAAAAAAAGTGAAGAAAAAATGAGCAAAAAGCTTCAAAATTGAAATAGCAGAAGAAAAACGACTTGACGTAAAGAGCTAGAGAGATCAAATCTGTGAATTTTTCTTCGAAATCAGAAAAGTACTCTCCACGCATTTTTGCCCACCTTAAACTGTTATAAATTCCATTCCGAAAGTACATGTACAAAGTAAAAGTCAAATGCGAGGCGGTGATGTGCGAATGCTTTGATAAAAATAAGGATATGCGGACACAAGAGAAAAGTAAAAAAAAATCAACAACAAAAAGGCAAGCACAAAAAAATGAAGAAAGTCGCTCAGATGGAATTCCAAGTGTATGTATGTGTATATAATGTGATGCTGACCTATAAAATCGTCTGTGCTCTGTGTCTTTTGTGTGTATGAGATTCATAGAAATACATAAGTGCATGGAATATGGCCCGGTGTTTTCGAATCCAACACCATGCCATTCATACAATGTTCGCCGTTGTCGTCCTTCTTTTTATGTACATTGTACCGTCAGAATAAATGTTGACTTTGCCCTTGTCGATGAATCTCGCTGTATATGTGTTTATCAAAAGTAAAACGACCATCAAATTGTGTCGGCATTAGAAGCATTTCGCCATACAAACATACATAAGAAAATTAACTTGTCCTGTTTTGATCATCTGATTTCGAAACGGCCGGTGCGGCTAGTTTTTGATTCGGCAAGCGATTTTCTTTTTTCTTGGAATTGCTTTCAATTTAATTGTCTTTGACAGAAGTTGATGAGTATTTGCGGTGTGTGAAAATGAGCATCGCAGACATGCCGCCACGCATTTTCACTGTCACAAATCGTCGGGCAATAAGATGAAACTGTTTCGTAATTCATTTTCCGAATCGAAATTTAATTAACGCATTGAATGTTGTACGTGAGTTTTGCCAGCACACGATTCTTTTCGGTTTTGCACCACCAAACCGAAAACAACGTGTAATTGTCTATATTTTTTTTTTTGACAGAACGAAATGCGCTCATAAATTGTTATGGTTTTACTTCGCCACACCGATATACTACCGATAAAAAAAATGGAAAACCGAATCTACAAGAGAAGAAAAATACAACAACATCTTTTTTATGCTTTTCCATATCCCTTTTTATATGTTTTGCCACAAACAGCAAAAGGCACTGAATTTGAATTTTATATTTATATCGATAAAAAAATTGTTACGATTTTTCGACCTTTGTCGTCTTCTCAATGCATTATCTAATTTGGTATTCTCAACACAGAACTATTAAACAAGATGAAATTTTATGCAATTTATAGCCGATTATGGTGTATGTGTGCGTTTTTTTTTGTACATTCTATTCGCGCAATATCTGCGCATGCATAAATTGCATTTGACGATGGCATTTAGAAAATAAAATTAAAAATTTAAATGTTCAAAAATAAAAGAGCGAAATGTGTTTTGTCATAAAAGAATGTGGCTTTTCATATTTCACTCTCTCTCTCTCGCTTTCTTTCGTTGGCAGTGTTTGCGCGTGTGGGAAGCGCCTCGCATAATATATTATATACACACTAAAAATGGCTTTTAAACGAAACACATGCCCTAAGCTTGAATCACAGAACCAATTTATCTTGAAAAGCCATGAATTTCAGTTTATTTTCGCTATCTCGAATTCAAAAGTCACCCCACACCAGCCATCAGCCGATTTTCTTCTCTGTTCGCCGCGGAATATGTGCAATCAAAAAATATTATAGTACTATTTGTATGAGTTACAATTTGTGACTGCTGTTGTTTATTCGATTTTGTATTTTCAAATGTGTCGTTTTTTTTTATTATTTCTTCGGACTTTTATGTGCAATCTGATCTCATCCCCCTTTCGTTGGTATCTAAAACCAACCGGATTTCATTGAGTCATCGCCTTACCCCCTTTTTTTACTAAAATGCAACCAAATCGTTTTAACTAGAGATACAAAAAAGTCCCAGCTAAATATTCATGCACAATATCAGGCGCATGTTTGCGCTTTAAATTCACGTTTTCAAAACGCAATAGTTAGGTGATGCTATTTGTTTATTTTATTAAAGTGTGAGCGTAAATATTTTGTGTGATTGGGTAAATAGCACAAAATCGAATTATTAGTGCAAACAAATTGACAGCAACAAAAACAACAACCGAATAAAAACAGTAGCTCAAACGGGATATCTCTCTTTCTCTCCCTCACCATCAGAAGGGTTTTTTTACGATTCAAGTTTTATTGCATTTTTAAACGAAGCTTGGTTTCTCTTACAAACGCAATTTTAAATAGCGGAAAATATTATCTACACTCAAATGTGATACACACAAAAAAAGTGTACACACGAACGTAGAATATGAAAAAAGTGGCGTATTTAAAAAGTATGCACGATGGTCATATGCGGCAAACATAGTAATGTCACTAAAGCCTCCCTCAAAATGGCATAAAATTAAAAAGCGCGGTGTATAAAACTGACATCGGGAGAGAAAAAAAAGCGTCCGTGGCCTGCAATGACGCAAAAAAGTCACCGCACAAAATAAAAGAAATCTATGCGAGACCAAATATACAACAACGCGAGGTGGAAAACGGGAAAAGAATGACAACCGTGTTTTTTTTTTGTTGTTTTATTATCTCAAATACTTTTTGAAACGTGTGTCCAATATCAAAACGATATGATTTTTTTATGCCATCCATTTGATGGAATCACAAACGGCCAACAAAAAATGTTAAGCGTATAGTTGGTTTATCACATGTCACACATTTTGCATTGTTCGATAGAATCTGGACTGAAACTTTGGCAATTTTTTCGTGAATGCGGGGGTGTTCAATTTGAGATTCGACATCGAAAACAAAAAACCTCAAACACTGTTTTAATGAATTGCCTACCTGTTCGCGCGGAAAATATACCGGTGACCGTTTACAATTCAATCGTGCCAATTTGATTTTCCAATGAAATGAGACACAAAAAACCACCACATCACGACGCGTTTCGTCGACAAGCAATGTTTCCGAATAAAAAAAAAGATGAAAGACAGAAACAAATAAACGACGAACAAAAATTGTCATTCAAAAGTTCTGGTTTGACTCTTTAACCGTACGAAAGCACATATCGTTTCATTCATACCGATTATACGCAGGTTATACGATGCAAACACATGGCGTTGCAACTGGGAAATGTGCGATAAGAGAGCGTAAACATAGAGACAAAAAACAACAACACGTTGGTTGTCGTCAAACTCAATTGAAAAGCAACAAACAAAAACCGAGAGAAAGAGAGAGAGCGGGAGCGTATACAAGCTTTTGTACACGATTGTGACGACAACGGGGCCGCAAATGTGTGCTCACATGGCGTTGTTTGAAGTCTCCACGATTCGTGATGTGCCGATATGTACATGGAAAACGAAAGTGAAAACTAGGACCAAAAACCATTCAAATCACTCTCTGTCCGTTTACGTGCACTCACACACAACTGGGTGCATCTATTCGTTTGTACGAGAGACCGGAGAAACAGCATACATTGCAACACGCTTTTCATGACTGGTGAAATGCGAGCGCCATGTGCACGTTTTTTTCAAACAAACGAAGGTATTTTCTTTCACCGCAAACAAATCGCATGTGATTGTATGAGGACGTGTGAAAATTTAAGGACAACATTCTAAGGCGAATGGATTCATTCACATTCGTGTGATTTTATGCAACAACAAATACATTGCATCCATTTCAATTTTATTTGTAATTGAATGTACAATGTCTGCATATTTTGAGTTGATGGAAATTTACATTGACTGATATGATCAAATAAATAAACATTTACATGATACTTTTCAAATAGATTCATTATAATACAAACTCTATCGATACAAACTTGAATAGAAATCGCATTTATCCCTCTATTAGTGACGGGAAGAATTTTCTTTTAACGAAGCGTTTCAACCGTCTCCATCGACACTTATTTTCATGCTTCCGCTCAAGTTCATAGGAAGGGTGAAAATTGGAAAAACCTTTTTCCACTTCTTTTCCAGTGCCAACGCCATCTATTGCTGGGAATATAAAAAAAGGAAAAGTGCATTTTCCGACAGGCTTTCGACTCTTCGAATCTAACAAGCTTTAAAATTTGGAAATTCAAAAGCAGCCTGTTTACCTTTCTGTTCCGATTCTGAGTTTCAACATTTAAAGTGAACTGAACTTTAAAGTGCTTTCATCGCAGATTTTCACCAAGTACTGAAAAGCGCTAAACTTTTAACATAAACTAAGTGGAAAATGCGTTTGTTTTGTTTTTTATTTACTTTATTTCATGATTTTTTTTTATTTAAAACAATGACATTTAGTTCGAATACAATGGACTTCCATCATCATTATTATTAATAATGAGCTTAAATGTGTGTTTTGTGTGAAAATTTCTAGATTTTCCATAGCCTTTATTAAACATTCATTTATAAAATTGTAGTTTTAATATTTAAGTTATGGGATATTTTTCATAAATGTGTGTGTGTGTGTGTGTGACTGAGTGTGTTGTAGTTGTCATAATGGTGGGTGAAATTTACGGTTTTATTGAGAAAAATGCTATTGTTATTTGGTAATTATTTGCATTTACGGTCCAAATATATGCGGAAAATGAGGAAGCTGAATCCATTTGGTCTTTTTGTTGTTTTTCCATTTGCAATTTTGTGCAATACAGTTACATAAATACATTGAATAAATTGTGGTGATGCTGTTTATTTTGTCATTAGGGAATTTAGATGTTCAATCCACTATCATATTTGCAAATTACAACGTAATAAGTCCGCATCAAAATGCCTGCAACATTGCACCGGATCGGGAGAAATCTGTGCATTATATTTTCTTACATCTTATTTTATTTTAACGAAACGACATTTTCTATAAATTTTTCCTCTTTTTCTCGTCATTCATTAAACAATTTCTTTTCATCTTTTGTTAATTATTTCGAATATTTTAAGTAAATTTCGTTTATATTGTTCCATTATAGTTACACTTACACTTATACAACTTTCGAATAAGTTAAATTCTCATCATTTCAAAATAAGGATTGAGATATGCAAATTGCATACTCTTTTGTGCATCCAAATCGAAAACCAACGATTGACCACGAACTTTGATCGATATTCGATTTTTCGCTCGTTTCATTTCATTTCTTAAAAATAATCATGTGGTAAAACTTGACACCGTCAAGATGGTAACACAAGAAAGGAAATTAAAAAATCTACATTGGAGCTTGGAGTAGTTTGTATGTTTTAAATATGGTATATAGTTTTATTTTCATATGACAATAGCGATACGGTTGTGCATACGTTTACCTACTGGTTTGGATTCTATTCATCGAATACTAATTTAGCGAATAAAACGGCGAAAAGAAAATGATTGTAAAAAAAGGTGTTTTCTTTCCAAATGTCCTGTTAAAAGCGATGAAAAACAAAAAAAATGAAAACAAAATTTTGCGATTTTTTTCTACATTTTTTTCGATTATAAATTTGTGTACGTCGAATAATCATATTAGTTAGCTAGTAAATCTAATGAGTGATCAAATGAAATGGAATCAATTGTTTTGCATTTTTTGTGGTTCCGGAAATGTTAGTACAAATACAAATTGCGCGATTTTTCCTATATAAAATGTGTGAAAAGCATGAAAAATAAATAAGAATCTTATCTACAATCTTAGGGCTAAAAATAATCTGTTTCTCACGAGTTTTGACGAGCTTAAAAAGCACCCACAGTACCATTCAATGTGCGTACAATAATTGTGTGGAATGAGAGATTTAATGGTTTTGGCCATTGATTTTTTTGATGTTGGTGGTTATGATCGGTGTGTGTGTGTGCGCGCGAGCGACAAATCAAAGAGTAATTTAGCATTTATCGCAGTTTGAAATCGATTTAATGTCAACGATGCTCTTCCTCTTCGATACATTAAGACATTTTGAATGTTATCGCGAATGAATGGTTTTCGATGCGTGTTGAAAGTAACTAACACAGCTAAAATGTACACACATGTAAAGTTGTACCAAAATGAAAAACGGTACGAAACGGCATACTGCTGCTAAGTGGATTGAATGAACAATTTTGGATCAAAATGGAATGGGGTCCTTTATCAGCCGAAAGCAAATTTCATGCAATCGGGAGCAATAACTAAAATATAAAGCAAAACTGCACGCTCACGCGTGACGCGTAAAACAATTATATTGACAAGGATGTTAACATCGTAAAATTCACACTCACACACATACTTGATCTCTCTCTGTCTCTCTCATTCCGTACACCATTATCATCGTACATCGAATGAAATGCCTATGTCAGTGCCCATAAATATCCAGTCATTAAAATTATTTAATTACTTATTTATTTGTAATAAAGTTCAGGCTTAAAATCGTACATAGTGTCCAAAATGTTTTATTCATGTGTGTGGTCACTGCGTACGATGCATATTCCTGATAACTACACATATATTCGGCGCAATTTTAGTCCGATACTTTTTGTTTTTGTTTCAGCTATGTGTATGACTATAAATGTTAGTAATATTTTGTAATAACATCGACGACGGTTTTTCATGATTTTGGGTTCTGTTTGTTGTTGCTTTTCATTTATTATTATTCTGGTTTTCTAAATTACATATTTACTTTAATCAATTTTCATTGATCAAAAGTGTGCGACGCTCTTTATCTTTATACGCTAAAAATTATATATTTTATACGAAACTCATTAAATACGCGCAGCACATAATTATAGCTGATAAAATCGGCCAGACGGGCTTAACTGTGGATCATTTGTCTCCAGCTTTTTTGGGTAAACATTGTTTTCAATATCGTTTGCTTTTGTATTGACAACCAAACACATCCATTTCATATTAATCTCTTTTGTATGCATTTTGGTTATTTTTGTTTCGATTTTTGCGCAGGAAGGGCGCGGTGTTGGATTAATGTGGGATGCGGTTAGTGTGGAAATGTTTTCATATCACCATTGCCATCCCAACACCAAACCAGAAAAAGAGAGATACAATTTTTGCGTATTCAATAGTTTCGCTGATTATATGACCTATGAACAAAACAAAGCGCGCCTTTCAGCGCCTATGCAACGGCTAATCATCTACAGCTCTCTAAATATATATATTTATTTATTTTTTTGTGTTCATATCATTAGTGACTCCCAATGCATCGAATTTTCAATGGATTTATTTTAATTGATTTTGTGAATTGTGTGTGTGTGTGCCATCGCGCACAATCACACAAATACAAAAGAGAGCAAACATAAAATTTGTGGGAAATTGGAGATTTTTGCGTATAGTTTGTATAATGTTTACTAATTTGTTTGGAATTAAATTATTAATTGTTATCATGTTTAAACATCTATAGTTTTATAGTTTTTTTTCTGTTTGGTTGGACCATTGAGCCATTCATGTTGTATGTGTTATGCAATTTGTAAATCTAAATACCTTAAATGCTAAAATGAGACAAAGTATGGTGAGTGGTACGTGATTTTTTTTATTAATTTCACGTGTACAACACTCTCATCGCAGTGTCTCTTTAAAATTATCGGCTCGGATCGTCGAGCATTTTCTTTGTTATAAACAACTTATACTCCATCTTTCGTAATTCATTTTCACTTACATTTTAACTAGGTTTCTTTTGTATGCATTCAATTGCTAATTCATTTTATATTTTAGTTTTTAGTTTAAACACAACATTGACATATATTTTATTTTTTAGTGGTAATAGTATAAATAACCGTGTACATTTTTTTTATTGTTCGTGTATCGAACAATCCATGCTTTATTCAATATGGATTTTCTGTTGTGTGTGAATTTACTACTGGCCATCGACAAAAAAAACCCGAAAAAACAAAATCCATTTCGCTCAAATCGACGAAACGACATCGATGACTATACGGACAATTGACATGATGGCAAATCCATGTAAAGCCTCCCTTTTGCATTGACAAGCCATATCGCTTTTATATAATTTTTTTTTGTTAAAAATCCTACAGCTAATTGTCTGTGTGTATGTATTAAAACGTTTATATAAAGAGATCACAATAATATATAATACTTTGTAATCATTTTGTCTATAATTCTTCAATAAAAACTAGTTTATTTGTTGTTTTTTTTCTTGCGGTAAAAACCACAAATCCATTAAAATCTTCATTTCGTTATGTTATTGTTGCCGTTTATATTCTACTCGTCGACAACCAACAAATGACGACAAAAAAAGATCTAAAATAAAATAAATCCCATAACAAATAATATTTTTTTCATAGCTTTTTTTACGATTTGTTTATTTTTTTTATTTTTTTGGCAACATTTTTGGCCACGATTGTTTTCAAACATAAACTTTTCCCCGAGTCTCAAAAATTGTCTTTCTCTCACTTGTTAAACTGAAAACGCTTAAAATGGTGGTGGCAAAACTGCAAGTGCTGCCAACATCTCATTCTCTGTGGCTCGTGCATCGTTTGCAGATGAGTAGTTGGGTCATAAACAGAGGTTAAGTGACATCATTAAAGAGTTTTTGCTGTGCGGATGTGTGTTGCAAGTAAGCAGATAACTTAAGTGAGTGAAATGAATGAATGAGAGAGTGTGTATGTGCTGGTGAATTGTGTTGCGCTAATTCGATTGGAACGTGTTTCCACATTAACTTTCAACGTTAATCGGTCCAGCTGTTGGAATTTGTTGTATTTCAGGCGGTGGAGGTGGTAGTGAATCCATATTACCATTATCTAACTGGGTAATATCATTGATTTCGTCGCATGTTGGCGGTGCTGGAAAGTTCACCAAACTATCGAAATCATTTGAATCATTTGTTAAATGTTCACCGTTGCCATTGATGCCATTTTTAAGATCAACACCACCACCGTTCACAACACCATTTCCATTGGTTTTGATGCCATTTTGTTTCGGAATATATTCAGTGTCGTGTTGATACCGTTGTTGATGCTGTGGCGAAGTGTCATTTCCATTTTCATTTTCAGTTTCGGCGGTTGTTTTAAGAGCTTTTGATAAGATGATGCCATTGTCTGTGACGGAGATTTGATTCTCATTTGCGATGTCAATTGATACGGGTTCAAGTGTTGCATACAATGTGTCAGCCACTGATCCATTTTTGTTAATTTGGTTTTCGTGCTCGGTATCACTAATTACTGTAATTGGTTCAGGTGTCGTAACATTCGGCTCAATTGACATTATACTGTTGCCGTTTCGATGCGGTGATGTTGATTCGACAGTATAAGTTTCTTGTGTGCCATAACAATATGCGCGATTTGAACCGTCCGATGATGAAATGCTCAAATCGGATTGTGACAAACCGGTGTTTATGTTACCAACGCCAACAAAAACATCATTGCCGCCAGCAGCGGTACTTGTTTCAGCTTCGATTTCATCGTGTCCGTTATGTTTTGGCGATGACATTGAAACGGCTCCATCTTCGTCAATCATTAGGACATCCTCCTCCATGCACATACCATTCGGCGGTGGATGAACCAATACTTTTTCATTACTTTGTGTGAAAGACACGTTTCCATTATTCGACGATGCATAGTCCATACACTTTGGTTGCTCTTCGGGCACCTCCACAATCGTTGCTTGTGTTTGTCTCGGCGATACGGTCATTTGTTCGACCGTCATTTTTCCCGATTCACCTCCACCACTAGCTGCAGCTGCCGCTGCTACATTTACCATGATTGGTGTAGTATTACTATCAGCACCGCGAGCTACTTCAACAACAAACACACCATCCTTCTCTGACGGTGAGTAATGCACTTTTGTTTCACGAACATCCCGTGCAATATCCTACAATAGAAAAATGGAAAGAGACAAAAAAAACATGATTTTCAATTAAGTTTTCACATAAAATTGCATTACATGTCTCACAATGATTTGAAAATTTGTTCGATAAATTGCAGTAAAATGGATTAAAGCATATTTTTTTCTATTCATTCAATCAAACGTCAAATGGATATTTGTTACGATATTGCTTTTCATCGCATACATTAGAATGATTACAAAATGTTTTGGTTTTTCTATTTTCAAGTGGAAAATCGATTGACATTTTTGTAATTCCCACATTCATTCGAATGGAACAAAAATCTTTAACCAAATACGTTTGCAATATTTGGTATGGCAAAAATGTTGAATGGAAAATCGACAAAATCAATTTTAAATCCATTCAAAGCACATTTGATTCGTGTTGTCACATTTTTATCCTTCAATTGCCCTGAGTATTTTCACTCTGTCTGTAGTTTAAATATAAAAATAAATTTGTTTGTGTCGAGCCTTGCGACAGAACCGATTGGACTGAGGAAAATGAAGCAAAAAAAGAAAAAAGAGAATACCGAAAAATGAGAGAGAAATTGAAAAACTGCATGGAATTCTATTGAGAGAGAGAGAAAAAGAAACTTTTGATGTTCGGTTTCCATCAATGATTTTACAATTCGTGGGTGGGAAAAACATGTTTTTTTTTGGGGAGAGTCTGGCATTGTTTTTATTTAACAACCAAATCGAGTTCTCAACCGACACAAACAATTTCAAACAGTGACAACTTTTCGTGTAAAAGAAACTCTTGTTTGCACAAAAGAACGAAAAAATCAAACAAAAAGAAAATCCTCTACGGCACAAAATATATATCATTCATTCCAATCTATCGATGCTGTAATATATCAAAAGGCACCTCATAGAGATGCGGTGCGCGCGGTGTGTGTGCTTCATACTCTTGCAAACCGATAAGTTTTTAATAAATGGCAATATTTTTCTCTTTCGTATTTTTAACTATTTGAAATAAGTCTCACGCACTTTTTCAATGCTAAGGGAAAACAAACTTTTGGTCCTTGTTGTTTGCGGATATTTTTTTTCTTCGTCAATAATTTTTTTCTTCTTCATTCAATTTTCCGTCCGAAAATAAGAATTGAGTGAGAAAACTTTTATGCCATAAAAAAATGAAAAGAATCGAATTTACATTTTTTATGCGCCAGCAATCGATCGAAGTTGTTTATTATGCGTTCAAAATTTTACTCGCCGGTTTGGCGCTACATTGCCGACGACGCAAAAAAAAATCGTGTGAAAAATCTCGTTATTGAGATGGTTTTTCCCATCCTTCTCTTTCTCTCTCTCTCGTTCTCGTTCTCTTTTCTTCTTTTTAGCCGTTTTTTCTCTCTCGTGTAAGCAATTGCTGTTAAACCCGATCACAAAAGTTTCGCTCGTAATTTTCCGACTAAAAATTGTGCAGAGGGAGCAAGGGATCGAGGCTATAAAAATAAATGGGTCTCGAACGTTTGATGAATGTTCTAATTGTGCAGTACTTACGCTACGTTCCTCGGTTTCCACAATTAAATGATTATTTTTCATTGTCATCGTAATCAGCGATCCATTTGCGCCCGAATGGTGATTTTGTCCGCCACCGGCCACTTCATCGCACTGTATCGACGTGATTTCGGCATTTGATATTAAATTGTCATTGCTGTGATTGATACTGTTCGCTTCACAGTCCACTGATTTCAGCTAAACAAATTGAAAAAAAAAACGAAACATGAAATGAAACGAAACGAAAGTAAGTGAATGAAAAGAACTTCAAGATGAAATGAGAGCAACTCTGGGAAAAATGGCGAATTGTGTGTTGTTACGCGTTTTTTTTCTACTTTCTATTTCCATTTGAAATGAATCCCGATGGGCATTGATTTGTAACTCGCCCCATCAACAAAAATCACATTGGAAAGGACAATGAATGAATTCAATGGATCCATCTTATCGGCTTTTGAACGTGTTTCGTGTTTCTCTTTTCCCCCAGGAGTTTTGCCCTTTCCACGTTCCTTCTCCTTGAATAGCAGTTTAAAATTAGTTTCTGTTATTCAGTGCGCGTTTTTATCGGCAGTGCATTCATGTTCAAAAGAAAGTGGAAACGCTCTTCGATAAAAACGAAATAATCATTTCAAAAGTAAAACGTAATTGATGGCAGTAATTTAAGCAGAAAAACTATGCAATAAAATGATGGCAAAGTAAGCCTTAATTGCGACATAATGAAGAGCGTATCGCTGTGAATATCGCCACTGTTTTATCTTAACACTCACACATATCTCAACTTCTTTTTATTTCTCTTCAACTTTTCTCTTCTTTATCTTCTTCGTCTTCTCTCGTACGAAGTTTCATTTTAATTTTTTGGTTGTCTTATTTGTTCTTTTTTGTGCCTTTTGTTTGTTGCATTATTGTTGTTTTCATGTTGGGGTTGTTTGTCGTTCGTTGTAATTACCAACGTCGGCTATTAAATAACATTTTAATATAAATTAAATGATGTTATAGTGTTCCACCAGTGTACAACAAAAATGCCAACAAAATGACAAATAAATGAAGAAATTTGCGAAAATTTACTTGGCAACAAAACTTTGACTTTCGCGTAGACAATTTCGTTTCCAGCAAAGTTGCTGTGTATTTGTTGTCATTTCCAGTTTTTTTTCTCGCCCCTTCGTTGTTGCTACTGCTTTTATTTTCATCGTGTGCCACATCTCTCACACTAGATAAAATGGGATCTAAAGTTATCTCTCTGTGTGTATGTGTCGTATATTCAAAATAACTCTTTGTCTTTTCACTTCGCTCATCGTAGTTTGTCTCTATCTATCTCTTTCTCTTTTTTTGCATAATTTTTGTGTGCCGTTTGGTTCGGTTGTTGTTTTTCAATTCGTGCATGTTTCGTAATTGCAATAGTTTGTCATAACATCGTTTCGACGCGTAACGCGAAAGCGCCAACGAATGGATTCACTTCCGGGATGGTGTGAATTCTGGCGTTCGTTGTATGAATTGTAATAACGAATTTAGTTTTATTTCCATGCACTACATTTTCGGAATTGTGTACTATATAGATATGATGATGCAGCGCAAAAAAGCGGCTGGAACAGAAAAATCGACAACGACTTGTGCAACGAACTTAAAATATATGTAGCGGAAATTATATTTAACCGGCAACCGGGAGTGAGTGAGTCTATTTTTATTACAAAAAAAAGAAGAAATGTATACGATGCAAAAGACAATGAAAGAGAAAGAGCACCGGCTTAGTCAGATGAATTTCGAATGCAAAAACCACGGCCGTGTTGCTGCCTCTGCACTTTTAGTCAATCCGAGCGATGAGCATGATATGTAATTCGAGCATAGAGTGCTGTTACTGCTTATAATTCATTTGGCTTGTGAACTGCTTTTTTTGCGTGTTTTCAACTGAGAATTCAGCATTCACACACACAGCATGTCACGCTTCTATTGCGCCAAAGTTTTCTTATCGTTACCGTTGCTATTTCTGGCTCACAAAAATCGATAAACAAAGTACAAAATAAATCTTCCGAATAGGAGAACGATAAGAAAAAAAATATATACATATAAATATTTCGTAATGAATATATACATTCCAATGAATTAGAATAAAGAGCCGAAAAATCGTAAGTTGACAGACCGGAGATGAAGGCAAAAACAATTTACCGACAAGCACATTTTTTCCCCTTCAAATCTCGCCCGTTCTCTTCTATCAAAGTCAATGTTGCTGTTGTATATCTTTTGTCTGCTTCGTTACACCGAAGAATAAATGCAATGTTCATCGACAACATAGATTAGCATCAATTTCTTTTTCTTCCCGCTTGCAGTTCAATCAACAACAAGTTAATTGCGTTGCTTTTTCATTTTTGTTTCCATGTGAATTTCGACCAGGTGTTTTTTCAAAGTTTTTCTCTCTTCCACTTTCTCAATCTCTTTGTTTTTTTTTTCGACTTTTGCTGTTGCCCAAAAAAACATCAACTGAAAGTTAATCAAACACATTAGCAAGCGCAACTCATTCACAATGCCAAGTTTGTGCGTTCAATTTTCGTTCTTCAATTTGAATAATTGGAATATAATTTACCGCGATTAATATCATCGTACTGCACAGCGTAAAGAAAACGAAAAAACACACACACACAGCCGCAGTCGTGGCAGCCGAGGCGTTGATGAAGCTAGGAATAATGATGTATACAAAAATGTTGTAGATGAAAACAAACGCGATGTTCGTTTGCATTTGCAAAAATTGTATACAGCATTTTTTTGGTTGTTTTTCGGGTGAAAAATGTTCAGTTTCGCGCTGCGATGAACACGGCCCCAGCGATAACACTTAACCGAAATTATTATGAATTGCGAGCGCAATTTTTGAGGGAAAACAAGCGCGAACAAAAACACGATGGTTTGCGTTTTAATATTTTAATTGATACGTACATTCGGCGATGCGAGCAATGGCACGACGGGAATGGGTGAGCATATACACTTAGTCCGAATGCTCGGAAACATACGTTTCTTCCTGGTATACAGATCGTGGTGTTGCACGTATTACAAATTATAACAATCGATTTGCGTCACGAGCATGTGTAATTTTAATGTAAATTTATTGCATTTCAAGAACGATTATATTTACCAACAGTTCGGTACGATTTATGTGTCATGCGATGAATATTTCATCAATTCAGCAAATCAAAGTATAGCTGATGTTCACATCTATACATCAAACTTATACATACATATATTCTCTAAGAACTTTATCTCATTTGGAGCGATATATTCTCTTGGGATTTTCAGAATGCAAACAAATTGAAGATCTTAAGCTCGATGTGCTTGGAATATTGTGTATGGGAACGAAATGAAATGGAAAAATTGCTAAAAAATAAACAATGAAAAGTCGAATAAGATGCATCATATATCCCGATTTTTCTTTTGCACATAATAGGGTTTATTTTAATCCAGTATTTTAAGGTAATTGCTCTTGAAGACACAAACATAACAAGCATTATTTGCATTGAATCCGCTTGAAGTCTTGAGAATTGATTGACAGAATGAATTCAAACTACCTTCACTTGCCCACATATAGCACATAGGTACTCGAATTCCCCTAACAATCTTGCGACAAAACAACCCCATCTCGAATCGATTTTCTAAGAATCAACTTTTGAAAATGCTTATTTTTCTATGTATACATAATAGGAAAATATTTGGTAAATCTTAAGGGCGTGCAACAACGTTACTTTTATTATGGGATTTTATTGCAAATTGTTGTGTATTAGAGACGACGTTTGAATCGTTTTTACGACCACGTACTTCATAAAAAAGCAACTTTTTTTTCTCTACAAATTGGAATAATACTTAAAAAAAATGAGAAAATTTGGTGAAAAATCCTATCAAGACGGCAGAGACGAAAAAAGGGATGATGATGTTGAGCCATTTTAATTGAATGAAACAAAGTGTGCAATTAAACGTGAAAATCTCGAACACGAAGCAATGAATTCTTTGTTGAAGACCATCATAAAAGAGAATTACCAAAAATGCACTTTGCAAATTAATCACATTGGAAGAAGAAAGAGTGAGGTCGCCTACTGCTTTGATGTGGTCACTTTTTTTTCCTTTTTTCTGCTCTGTTCGGCAATCGTTAGCAATGAACACAGTAGAAACAATAATAAATAACAATAACAATGGATGTAGACGTAAATTTACGCGCAAAAACCTCCCAAAAGAATATTTATGTGATGAAAGAATAGTCGAAAATGCTCATAAAAATGCGGCACACTGCAATAACAGCATGAAACAAACAAGAGAGCGAAGAAAAAAAATACACTGAGATCCATGCACGACGACCACATTTCTATTGTAGCATTCGCAGAATATCTAAAAATTGTGTGAGCGCACGGCTACAAACAAGAAGACATCGTTACAAAAACATAACTCGTTTTTGCTCTGCACGTATATAAAAATGAATGCACGAAAATGCTCTCTCTCTCCGAGTTTCGAATGTGTATTTGCGCGAATTGCATTGAAATTTTTTTAAATGCGCTAACTTCTTTTCAATTCGTCATGTAGTGCTTCTTTTTTGTTCGTCGAAATGTTTGTTGTTCATCGGTCGATGACGACCGGTGCAGCGAGTATGTGCATGTATGCACTTAGTATACGAGCTGGATGCGATGTGAATGTTCTGTGATTTTGAGTTTCTATTCAGTGATAGAGTTCGATGCACTTTCTCTTCTATCTTTTGTGCCATGTTCTTTTCTTGCTGCCTAAAAACGTGCTCAATGTAAAACCACACGAAAATTGTCCAAAAAAACACACACACCAATGCACATGCAATAAATGGTTGTGGCCAATGGCAAAGTGCATTCGTATTCGGCAAATGGAAATTTAACATCAAAATGCATACGGAACACAATGATCGTTGCATTGATGTTGCTTTTGTTTGAATCAGCGTGCTGCAATTGCCATCGAAAAGAATTTCGCATGCGAAGCTCTATGTGACGCAGTAGTTAGTGCAAGGGAATTGCATTGATTCTAAGCAGAGTAAACATGTTTGTTTGGACATAGCCAAAAAGTATTGCCACACCATGGCATAATGCAAAAGAAGAAGAAAAAAAACACCATCACATGCAGTGAACGAGAACGAACATTTTTATCTTCTCGGTGCGATTTCTTGAGTGAATTCGGTTTTTTTTGTTCATCTTGTTGTTGTTGCCGCCTCT